CTGTTCAATAAGTCCCAACTCTTTCATTAGGTTCACGCAAAACGATGAATGAATATCCTCTCGACAAAATGTCAATCACTTTACACACTATCAAGATGACAAGATAAGTCTATTCAATCCAACACAATCCTGTCTACTATCAACAAGAGATTGGGGGTGATCAGTTCCTTAATTTGTCAATAGATAGTCGACAACTATAATGGAGAATAAACCATTGTTACCAAACTATAATAGCATTCCTTTAGAACTTGTGCTATAGGTAACCTAAGGCACCAAGGCCCAATAATCTCCTTTGAGGTTTACAAAAATGCTGTCAACTCACTGGTAACGGGTTACCCTAATAGAGGTAACCGATTACACCTCTCAAAACAGCCAATCCATACTACTGTTTGATGGTGTACCTAGGTACCCATATATTGGTAACCAGTTACATGCAGTGCATGAGCACTTTTCCGCCGCTTCTCAACATGAGGATCACTTTTCTTATCAACCCAAAACATCATTCCTCTTATAATTCAAAAGGAACATTAATTTACCAAAACTCCAGTTTTCAAAACATCAAAATTCCAATTCTTTTTACAAGACTACTAATATCTTTGAGTTCTGAATCTGACTCGTGATTCACAAATACCCAACAACATCAACGATATTCGACAACCACTTACATGATTCCAACAAAAAAATTCACAACAATTCATCACTCCAGCATTACTCCAAACAGCGACAACACACACAATGATAACTCAACACTGACAATTTCACGATCAACATGCAGTGCTGAAAACATTATAACCATCGAGTTATCTTACTTGCTTAATAGATATCTTATGGCATAAGAATATGCATCGAATCATCAAAATAATTTGTAATCACTTGGTTCCAAGGATAACATTAAGTCAATCCAACATCTCTCTCTAACGAAAGTCACAATTGTCCTCGGGAAAACATCAGGGCCCCCACACAACTGGCACATCATTAACCATAACATCACCTTCCACCCCTAGAGATGCGAACAACACAAGTACCTGATCATTCCTTCTCAAGGACACTTCGACCTAACCGCTAGATATAGATCCTAAATTTGTACTTCCTTCAAAATCGGGAAAAACAACACAGTCTCACCAACATTTGCACTTATACAAATCACGACACACTAAACTAACCATTCACACTTGAACTATCTCAGAGGAACACTAACTTCTCCCTCACTTGTTTCAATCTCAATCCTACAAACAAGTGATTAGTAAAACAAGAAAGCACTGACAGTGTTTCACGCACATGTCGCGTACTAAGGAACAACACATCGACAATATTTAACTGTCATATTACACTACTAACTCGATAATTTGGCCGGATGAACCGACCTGCTCTGATACCAATTGTAACACCCTAAATTTCCCGACAATTAATAATATAAAAATCAGAGTAATCTTTTTTTCAAAATACATTTAGGATGCCACACTTTCTCAAAACAATCATAAATTTCTCAAAATAATAAAAGAGATACATAACACCTTTCGGATAAACAACAATATCATAATCTTAAATATCAACTTTATTAAGCAGCGGAAAATAATTCAGGTTCATTATTCAAAATCACTTCAACTCAACATGAATCATAAATCAATTATCCAAGAGTTTAAAATACTCCACAACAATCACCAAAATAATGCAAAACATAATAAGCGTTTATCCCCCAACCCGATGTTGCGTATCAGAGGATAATGCCGATTCTAAAACAAGACTGAAGAGCAACCTCTTCGAACTCCACATCAACGAACTACTCCTGACTATCTGCATGTTACCCACGTAGAGGCAACATTCAGACAGAAGAGATGAAACATCGCAACAATATAAAGAAAAGTATAATAATAAGTATACATAATTATATCATGCATAGTTATTCAATCCACATCTCACACTTACATGTCATAAGCAACATTTAACAAGCATAAACAACCACACACAACATCTTCTATGCTAACATCAAGGCATACAATGAGACACAACACTGACTCTATACATGTGGTATCAATATCGCTTTTGAATCCACGTCACCTAGGAACGGAGCCACCAACATCATGAAAAATTTGGTTCACTTTGCTCCCGATCCACGCCATCTAGGATCCAAGCCAACAACAGCGTGAATATTTATATTTACCTCGCTCTCTATCCACGCCATCTAGGATTATAACCAACAACATCAGGACTAAAATCCTCAACATGAAATGCATGTGACCCGACCATGCAACACAAGACCACATCGATATCACCATCCATCAATGCAACTCACCATTTCCGGCCGCATGCTGTCCTTTATATGTAACAATACACCACATCACAGACAACAAATTCGCATAATCGCACTAACACATATAATGAGAAATTCTCACACAAAGGCATAACTTCATAAAATAATTACCCAGTATCTTTGAAATTATTTTTATAGGAAATGAAATGTTTTCAGCTTCCCGTAGGTTCAAAAGGTGCGTCAAACAAACACCCGAGTCAAAAGTTATGAATTTTTAAAATTTCGCAAAAATTGTCAACTTCAGGTGTATCCGGTACCCATATACCCGTAATCGGTTACACCTTGTCAAAACGGCCAAAAATACTATTTCTCGAGCGGTAACCGGTTACTCATATACTGGTAACCGATTCCCACTATATCAAAGTAAAAAAAATTAGATTTTTATGTTACGAAAATCACTTATTTCATACCCAAACATCCCTTAACTTCCACATACTTCATCTTTCATGTTCCAAATTATAATTTCTATTTATATACATCATTATCAACGTTCTAATTCACAAAATAAACACATTTAAGCATACAATTATTCAATTATATCACATCAATTCCAACGCCGACGTGTCAAACACATCTCAACAATTTCAACATCGACACTTCAGTTATATCACCATAACAAAGCATCAATTTCATGAACAAACACACACAAAACAACCACAATAATCAATATCACCACATACCTATCATTATACTATTTCTTAGAAAGTTAGAACCCCATCCTTACCTTAATTCGAAGGTTCCCCAAACTTCAACAATGGCTTCTCTCTTGCCTTAGCCTGTTTTCCCAAAAGCGTTCTTTCTCTGTTCTCTCACTTCTACGATCGATAAACCAAAAACACTTTTCTTTTCGTTTGTTTTTGACTTATCTAACTCTTGGACCCCTAATATCATTATTCCCATTATGCCCTTCCTTCCTCTTACTACTAAAATAATTATTTAATTATATAAACTATAATATTAACTCTAATATTATGATTTAAATAATACTAATAAAGTAACCTTTTCTTTTCGGCCTTATGTTTCTACACTTTTAGTATACACCCCCCTTAGTACTTTAACTTCTATAACTTTTAAGGTAACTATCTCCCATCAAATACATAACCACACAAGAACATATTCATCAAAGCGTGCAAATGCACCACATCACAAATTAATTATTAAAAACAATTTAATAAAAATTAAGGTGTTACAAAATTCACAAATCTAGAAGCATATTAATATGCTCCAATCAAATAGTTTGGACTCTACTGATAAAGGAATTCCTGCTAAGTGCTAAAGACGTAATCCGTAAAATATCGAATTTGATTCTTAGGTAAAAATAATATTTAGCTAGTGCTTGAATCTTTGATGCACGAGTTAGATTAGTCAATTCAATAAATGGGTGTAGAAGTCCGAAAAAAATATGCTCCAATTTTTAATAATTTTAATTTTATTATTATTAATTATTATTTTAGATTATATATATATATATATATATATATATATATATATATATATATATATATATATATATATATATATATATATATATATATATATATATATATATATATATATATATATATATATATATATATATATATATATATATATATATATATATATATATATATATATATATATATATATATATATATATATATATATATATATATATATATATATATATATATATATATATATATATATATATATATATATATATATATATATATATATATATATATATATATTAAAATTATATACTTTTTATAATATATGTTATATTTATTCTGTATTATTTGAGATTATAAAAATTATTTATGTTATAAATTCTTTTATTTTATTTTTATTTATTTTTTAAATACTTAATTTCAAATATTATTATAATCTCTAGATATGTTTGACGGAGTGAATAAATAGAAATATAAAATTTTCAATTTAAACTTGTGCTCTAAGTCTAACATATATATCAATATCAAGTTTTCTGTAATTTTATTTATTTGAATTGTATTTATGAAAAAAATATTTTTTAAATAATGTAAAAATTTGAATTTGACATTATTTTTCTATGTTACTAAGACATATTTTTTAATATTTTTTTATTGAATGAAATCACATTAGTTATATTACTTTATTTAAAATTTATCAGGCAATTCATGTAAATATCAAATAATATGGAAAAAGAGTTTTTATTTAAAATAATTTTTTATAGCAATTAATTACAAAATAAATGTTAATTATCATATCATCAGTGTCACTGTATATCTCTGGATCATACTCATTTAATTTAATTTAATATATGAAAACTGTTTTTAAACTTGAATTGATGATATAAGATTTAATCTTATTAATTTTATTGCATCATATATCATTTATATATTAAATAAAATTTTCCATATAATCAAATCAAATTGTATCAGAAGTTTCGTATTTTATTATTAAAATATTAAAAATAAAAAAATTCAACTAAAATTAAAGAAAATTCATATATGCATTTCAAAGTTCAAAATAAAAAAGAGACGTATAAAACCAAGCAATTCAAGTGTCTTCTCTTCGCTAATCACCTCTTGCCAAACTTGTGTTAACGATACAACACAAAACCAAAAAAAAAAAGAACTCACACTTTATCATAACCATCTACGTTGATTAATTTGTTAAAAAAAAAATAAAAATTATAGTTGATTAAGCTTCACTTAATCCATTAATCATGGAGTTTTTCAACAAATCAAAAGCGATTAAGCTTCGAAGCCACTTAGATAAGTACCTAATAGTCGACGACGACAAAATCAGCAAAATCAAAATCCGTCAAAGCCGAAATGGAACCGTTAGAAGAGCTCAATGGACGGTAGAACAAGTCGAAAATCGTCGCAACGTGATACGGTTAAAGAGCTATAACGGAAAATACTTAACGGCAACAGAAATACCGCTTCTGTTAGGCGTGACGGGAAAGACGGTTATAGTAACGGAGTTAGAAGAAGGTTTAGTAGATGGAAGAAACGAGTGGGAACCGATAAGGGATGGGTTTCAAATAAAGTTGAGGAGTTGGTGTGGGAAGTGGTTGAAGGGAAACGGCGGAGCGCCGCCGTGGAGGAACAGTGTGACGACGGATGATTGGTTTGGTTCTGGGAAGCAGGATTCAGTTCTGTGGGATGTTGAAGCGGTGGTGGAAGAGAATATGAGTGAATTGGTTTTTGAGAGATTGTTATCGTCTTTTGCTTCTGATGATGTTACTTTTGATTCCGATACGGAGTCTCCGGTGTCGGTTATCTCCATTTCGTCGCCGCCGGCAAGAGAGAATTTTCAGGTACGTTTTCCTTTCTGTTTATTATTTTGATTTTGTTTTATTTAATTAGTTAATTGAATTTTATTTTATTTTTTGAAAATTCCAATGTTGATTGAAAACGCGGCTTTTTTTGTTCTAGTTCGCGGTATATTCAGCAGCAAACTCGGTATAATTATGTTATTAATAAATCAATAATAGTATAGTTGAAATGTAAAAGAATAGGGTTAATTGTTTCAGATTTATTTTTATTTTCCAAAATATTTTTAACTATTAGTCAAATTATAATTATATTTTAATCATAATATTTTAATACTTAAATCGTTATTGAAAATTTAAGACTTAGTAATAGAGTTTAAAATAATCTTGATGCTTGATTGATTGGTAAAAGCGATCTAAATTGTTTAATTATCATTTGTTATAATTTATCTTATGAGGGGCTTTTATGTAATTAAATGTAAAGAAGAGATATAAAATGATTTAGTGGATGAAAAAGTGGCAGAGTTAAAAGATTAGAAGGGCAAAATGTTAAAATTTAAAATTTGATCCTTACTTCCATCATAATACTAAAAATACTATTAACTCTTGTAAAAAAGTGAAAATAACTTAATAATTTATGATTAATTAACAATAAGGAATAGTATATATATATATATATATATATATATATATATATATATATATATATATATATATATATATATATATATATATATATATATATTGAGAGGTTAGAAATAGTAGGATGGTAAAATCAGACTATTAGTAAATGTTTATTAAAGTGAATGAGTTATTAAAGAACCATTCAAGACATTATTAAAGTCGAGCTAATAGTATTTCAAGAAGAATTAAAACATGTCACAAATCAAATTATTAAAGTAATAACATAATCACTATTGCCGATGAAAACACGTGAAAGAAACAACCTAACTTTCAATCTCAATACAAAACTAATCACTGTAATTTTGAAAGAGAAGATGCAGAAATTTTAATTCATAAAATTAAAGCCAAATTGAGTCTAAGTCCGCAAAGTAAGGTGTACTATCTAAGGGTGAATCTCGGGAAGTGATTGCCATCAGAGTACAAACATAAACAACCAAAGACACTAGAGAACTTTTAGACGAACCTACACTAGAATGAGAGAAATTTTAAAATTGTGCAGGTATGTAACTATACAGTGGATGTAAGGAATATAAAAATTGACTCATACAGTCTATAGCTACAAACAAATGCACTTCGTTTTTGTATCCTGGGACTCCATAATTGTCCTACTTAACTTGGAGAACCTTTGGGATGAATATATATTTGAATTTTTTTTAACAGGGATGCAGTTAATACAAAGTATTCTAAAGTGAATCATACTAATCGTAGAAATCGATAGTGATATTTAAAAGTTATATGAGATGTCGCAAAACAAATATTTTGGAAGAAGTCACAAAATTAGAGGATTGAGTCATGCAAGATATTTTAAGAGTGAAAATAAAACAATTAGTTTAAACTCATTAATAAGCATGATGGTGATGGCTTAAATTGACTCATTTAGTATGAGATGAATCTTTACCGTCTTATATAGATAATGTTTGCTCCAAAATAATGAGTCTTGTTCATCTTTCATAATAGATATGATGGTGATTATTTAAATGGATTCATTTAACATGAGATGAGTCATTCCTATATGTGGTGTGCCTTCACCAACTATTCTCCACTACAGAAAATGCTTAACACACGTCACACACAAATGGTTTTCACAACAATAAACGCACTCTTTTAAGGTTGGAGACAAGTGGCCAATATATGCATCTTCAACTACCTTTTGAAGACATTGAACATAAGATGTAACGAAAAATAAAACTGAACTATAAAGTTATGGCATTATATGTTTTCTGGTTTCTAATGAACACCTTGTTGAATCATATATTAGAAGAACGTCATTTAGAATATTATTGAAATTGTATTGAAGTTCTCCATTGTTAACCATTATTTTCTGCAATGATATTCAAACCCATCTAACAAATACAACATTATATAAAAAAGTTGTCTTCTTAACCACTTGAAGAAATTGTTTTACACGTATTCTTGGAGTTATACGCCTTCCTTGGTAGATAAAAGCATTTATGAGTGAGTGAAATGAAATATTACTCAGTCGTTGTATTGTACCGTTCAACCGTAACAATACAATCATCAATTTTATTTAATCAAAATTTAATCATAATAGATTTATTATGGTGCTTTATTTAATTCCAAATTAATAGTAAAAATTATGAAAATCACTAGTAGAAATTGAGAATATAAGACTTTCTATAAATTGAATTTCATGAATAGTAAGAGAAATAAAGACCAATGAATTAATAATGTTAGACTAAGTCAAGTCAAAGATATAAAACGACTAAATCAAATTTTAATAAAATTTCTATCTATCACAATAATTAAAAATTTAAAAAAATATACAAAACAAATTTTCAAAAATTATAAGATATTATTGTATGTTTAGGTAAGCTTCTACTAAAACAAACTGTGGTGGACAAAAATAGTGAAAAAGGAGAAGCTTGTAGAATTGATATTTAATGTTTTAATAACGCATATATTTCAAAAAAAAATTTATTATAAATAATTTTTTAAAATATGTCTTAAACACACATGTTAATATTTTTCATTAAATAAATCAAGTTTAAAAACAAAGTTGAAATATGACAATTGGATCTTATGAATACATTATACATGTAATCAGAATCCATGTATCTATGCTAGGTATTTAAGTAGAAATGAAGTGAGTTCCTTACCAGATTGTTATTTTGCCCAAAATATCTAACTTATATTTAGTGTATATACGTTAGTTTCATGCATTTGGGTGGCATTTGTTGTCGTTATGCAATGCCCACGCTTCATAGCTTCTACATCACGTATTGTTTCTTTTCATTCTCCTATAGTCTCTCTTGCTAATTAGTATTTGAAAATGACACTGAAAAAAGAAAACTAAAAGTAGAGGCGTAAACCAAAAATCCCCTTAATTTCTTTGATATAAACAAACACGCCAAGGCAACGGCAATCCAACAAAGAACATTCTTTCAATGATCTCATCAAATTAACTATGAATTCGCCAAAAATCATTTTATTAATTGAATATTTGCCATATCTATATTAAGCTAGGTGTCAACTTTATGTCGGTATGATTTATACCCCTTGTATTGTTTCATTCAATAAAGTTTTTAACCCTGTATAATCTCATCAAATCAACTCAATAATTGTTGGATTTTTCTCTAATTTAGTAAAAGTATTCAAACCGCCATAAATTTCTTTACCGTCACAACAGTGACTAATACTAAAAAGTAAAAACCTTGAACCTTACTCATGAAAAAACCACACGTAAACAAACGCAACCTAAATTGAACCGAAGAGATTAGTATTATCCACGCATTCACCACGTTCACCCAAACGTGTTCTCTCAGTTGCCACTTCTGACTGTACCAACACAACTTTTCACCCCAAAAAACACCCAAATCTAACGCACTACACCTTTTCATCCACATATATAAACCCACCACCACACTTCAACACCTCACTCAACACAAACCTCTTATTCAATCCAAAACTTACAATTTCATTTCAACACTACTTTTGCTAACCTTATTTTCTTTTCTTATTATTAAGAAAAATATGCAAACAACAAAACCCAACAAGCTCCGAACTGGAATGGACTTCTTTCACAGGGCAAAAGCAGTCCGTCTCAAAAGCCACCACGACAAATACCTATTAGCAGAAGAAGACGAAGAGTCCGTCACACAACACAGAAACGGTTCCTCAAATAACGCTAAATGGACAGTCGAGTATGTCCCAGATTACGACAACGTTATTCGTCTCAAAAGCTGTTACGGTAAATATCTCACAGCTTCCGACCACCCTTTCCTCCTCGGCATGACGGGTCGGAAAGTTCTTCAAACACTTCCGCAAACAGTTGATTCTTCTGTTGAATGGGAACCCATTAGAGACGGTGTTCGTGTGAAGCTGAAGACGCGGTACGGGAATTTTCTTAGAGGGAATGGTGGGTTGCCTCCGTGGAGGAATACTGTGACGCATGATATTCCTCATAGAACTGTTACTCAGGACTGGATTTTGTGGGATGTTGATATTGTTGAGATTAATGTTAGTAAACATGGTTCGGATCTACCTACCGAAACCAACAACACGCCTTCACCTGCTGTTATTGTGCCTACTGTTTCTGCAAGCTTTTCTAGGCAACAGGTATTGTTCAATTTTTTCAATTGGGTTGTTTTAGTTATGCTTTTTTTTCTTCTTCTTTGAGTAATTGTGGTTGGTTTGTTTGCAGTCTAGTGAATCGAGTGTTGGTGTTTCTCCGAAGACGAAAGAGGGTAGAGTTATATACTACCATGTTGCTGAAGATGATAGAGAGGTGAGTGATGAAGGTGGGCAAGGATATTCTTTGGTTTTCAAAGGGAATGGAGTTGAGGAATTGAGGAAGAAGTTTGAGGAAGAGACAGGGTTAGAGGGAATCATTGTGTGTAATAAGAGTCCTTTGAATGGAAAACTTTATCCTCTTCACTTGCAGCTTCCTCCAAACAATGTAACTATGCATGTTGTTTTGGTTCTTCCCTTCTCAAAAGGTGAGAGTTTTTTTCCCCTTTTGATTGATTAGTCTAGTTTACTGCTTTTGAACCTGCATCATCCTTAATCATCAAAATCCATAAGAACCATTTGAGTTATTGAATATTGGTTGTTCTGATTTGAGTGCTTTTATTCTGTTTCAGTGGCAACAGAGTTGGAGGCACAAGGTTTACTTTGAGGGCCCAAATTTTGCAACGCACAACCTTTGTACATGCTACATACTGATTCAAGCTTGTGAGTGTAATATGTGAACACATTTTTGATCCATTGCACTTATTCATCAGATTCCTATGGAAGCATCTTAAAACAGTGATGGAAATGGATCATAAGTATATCAGCAATTACCAGTCATGAATGAATAGAATAGGCAATTCTGATGGTGGATTTTGTTTGGACTTTTTTTGGATTAATTTAGTGTTGGATATGTATATATAAAATTATGGTTTACTTCTGAAGTCTAGAAGCACTTTTTAACAGTACTTTTTCTTCGTTCTAATTAGTTGCCTCTGATGTAATAAAATGTGTTTTCAAGTGAAATTAGTATAGAACGTAATGAGGAAAAGTGTTAATAATAAGCCAGCCCAGCTTGATTTGAATAACTCGATACAAGTATGGATTGAATTAATAATTAGAAATAAGAAGAAAGAAATGCTTGATTCCATTTTCAATTTGGGATAAGAAGTTTATGTATCATGACCTAATTAGGGAGGGAGGGAGAAAATGAAGGTGATGACCTAATTTCCTGGGTTCTGCAAGTTGAAAAAGAACTCTTTGTGCACAGATGGATATGAGGTTGACTATGCATGAACGTCACGTGAGGCTGACTAGGACACTAGGTGGAAATAATTAACTCGGTTTGAAGGTGATAAAGATAGAACTATGCTTATATACAATGCATAACACATAGACCAAGTTCCGTGAGCACCGTTTGAACCTAACCTCAAACTGATCTAATTCCATACTGTAGATACTAACTTTGTTAGGTAACTTGGACTCTGGCTTGCACTCATAAGCTCTAGCACACATATGTAACACCCTCACCCCCTCGAACTCAAGGGGAATGAATTTCACATTTGGATCATGAGTTTGGACCTCAAGTCTTGAAAGGGCACAGAGCAATGAGGCTTGGTCAGCAACTGAGACATGTTAAATAAGAAACTTCTTGGACACCACCCTCTCAGGTTATCAAAAAACAGAGTTGATGTATAAAATGGAACTTCTAGCTCATCTAAGAGAAGATTTCAACCATAGAACTTCTGCCGGGGCACGATATTCGGCCTCTATGTTTGAATGGGCAACTAAGGATTGCTTCTTGGAATTCCACAAGAGCCAGATGTGGACATTCTATTATAAAAGTCATTTGTCAAGTCAGAGTCACTATAGGCCCTGAGTGTGAACTTCGAAGTAGAAATATATGGAGACAACAACATGACATGATTGGTTGTACCACTAAGGTATCTAAGTATTCTTCTAACAGCAGTCCAATGAAAGTCCAAAGGAGAAGGTACAAGCTAACCTGCTTTGTTGACAATAAAAGTTATGTCAGATCTAGTCTGTAGAGCACCCACTATGGATCTATACAACTGAGGATCCGAAAAGCTCATAGAATAATGTTTACTCAGTTTACAGGTGCTAGGCATGGGAGTTAGGACTCCATTAGCATTTTCCATCTTGGCTCTGAATAGATGGTCTCTTATGTATATGGTTTATGTAAGTAACAAGGAACAATTGACTTGAGACTTGACCTGTATGCCAAAGAAATATGAAGGTCTGCAAGGGTTGTATGCATTTTGCCAATCAGGCTGTGAATGAGTGTTGGGTTAGATGTAACACCATGTTTTTCATATAAAATGTTTTCTCGTTTTTTATTTGATTTAATTATGTATTTGATTTAATTATATATTTTGTGTGAATTATATGTTTCATGTGTGTGGGATGTAGAGGGATGGTTGAGAAGGATAAGATAGAAGTGAGTAGAATAATTTGAAGCTTTTGAGATAAATGTGAAAGTATGAGAAATTGAGAGGCTAGTTGGAATAAGTTAGAATTATTTATAATTATTTTAGCAATTAAATAATAGGAGTTTATTTAATTAATTGAGTAAACAATATTGAAATAATAAAATAATAAGAAAAAGTGAGTTTGTAAATATTTTAAGGGTAAAATGGTAATTACAAGGTCAAGTTGAGGGTAGTATAGAGAAAGTCTAATGGGAGAAATATGTTTATTAGAAAAAGAGAGAATAGAAAAAAAAGAGTCTAATTTTATCGTACGTAGAATTTTAGAGAAATGAGAAGGAAGGCTAGGGCAAGAAGCTAAAGATGATCGAGGAAGATGGTGAAAGTTTCACTTTAAATTTTGGCAAGGAATTCAAGTAAGGGTGGGAAATCACTTAAATAATGAGAGTATATGCATGAAGGGTAAGGGTAGAGGAGTGCTTAAACTCCAATAGGGCATTTTGGAATTTTACTTAATTATGAATTTTTATGATATTTTGATGTTATATGTTATGATTATTGATGATTTTCGTGCACTATGTGTGACTGCATTTTTTATTTTGAGTGTTGGGATAATTTCACCATTGTTAAGAATTTTGAAGGTTTATGGAATTGATAAAGTTATGAAATATATGATTTAATTTATGCTAATATGTGATAACTTGTAAATTTGATGTTTTAATCATTGGATAATTGTTGGGTTTTGAATTCTGAGATCGAGGCTTTTTACAGAATCGAAATCGAATGTACAGAAGACTTCCAACAGAGAAAAATAAGTTTTTGGGTTGTTTTTTGCGCCTGTAACTGGTTAACGACCGGGTGTAACCAGTTACCACTGTTTCAGGTGGAAAACCGCAGAATTGAAAATGATGTAACTTGAGCTTCGTAACTCCGTTTGTTTTTGCGGTTTAAAGCGTTGGCAAGCTAACACAAATTTCTATTACATTCAGGGGCTGAATGTCTTGAGATAACCCGAGTATTTTATTACATGGGTTGTTGTATTATGAAATTATATTCAGGGGCTGAATGTCTTGAGATAACATGAGTATTAGATGTCGTGTAAACATCCCCAATACATATCAGATGGTTAGATGTCGTGTAAACATCCTACGTGCATATGTATATATTAAAATGTTTTGTTGTAATATGTGTTACAGAGCATGTTATGTGTTTTATGATGTGTGACACCCTATTTGTTGTATCAGAGCAAATCGGTCTGTTCGACTAGGTTGTTTAATGTTTTTTGTCCCTTAATACATGACATGTTTATGAAACATCGTTGGTACTCGTTTTTTTCCTAATTGTTTGTCTGCAGGAGTGGATTGAAATAAGCGGGGGATAGACTTTTGCTTCTCTGAGGTGTTTCAGTTGTGGAGTGTTATTTCGACGTGCTACTGATTTCAAGGGTGTAAGCGTTCTTGGAGCTGTATTATTTCTGGAAAATGAAGAGGATGTATATTCGAGATTCCTGTTTGTGGGTTAAGTTGGGATGTCTTTGGAGAATGATCAAGTAGTGTTGATGTTTGCTTCTCGGATATTAAAAAGCATGTAACGGCTAGTGATGTGCCAGTGGTGTATAACTTCCTTATGCTTTTCGTGAAGATATTTACAACTTGTCTCCAGAGTGTGAATCTGAGTTCGATGAAGGTAAAAAGTAGTTTGTTCTTCTAGATGAGTGAACGAGTCTGATGTCAATGGCTATGTATAAAATTTCTATTTCAAGGTTGAGTGTGCTGAAGAAATAATTGAAAGAATTGTTTGAGGAGAATTTTGTTCGATCTAGTGTTTCTCCGTGGGGTGAGCCAATGTTATTAGTAAAGAAGAAGGATGGTAGTATGAGACTGTGTGTTGACTATCGATAATTAAATAAATTGACCATCAAGAACAAGTATTCACTTACGAGAATCGATGATCTGATGGATCAGTTAGTTGTCGCCTGTGTTTTCAGCAAGATAGATTTAAGTTTTGGTTATCATCAAATTCGTGTTAAATCATTCGACATTCTGAATACTGCATTCATGATGAGATATGGTCACTATGAGTATATTGTGATGTCGTTTGGCACATCTAATGCACCAAGCCTGTTTATTGAGTATATGAATTGAACCTTTCCATTAGTATTTATATCAGTTTGTAGTGGTCTTCATCGACAAAATTTTGATATACTCTAAGTCTCATAAGGAACATGCAAAACATCTAAAGAATGTGTTGTAGGTGTTCATAGAGAAGAAGATTTATGTCAAGATGTCCAAGTGTGAGTTTTGGTTGAAGGAATTGAGTTTCCTTGGCCATGTAATTTCAAGTGGTGGAATTTCTATAGATCCTTCTAAGGTTGATGTTGTGTTGCAATGGGAGACTCTGAATTCTGCTATTGAGATTCAATGTTTCCTTGGTTGAGTTGGTTATTATCACAGGTTTATAGAAGGCTTCTTGAAGTTAGAACCTTCTTTGACTCAGTTGACTCGAAAGGGTCAAACTTATGTGTGGGATGTTGCATGTGAAGAGCGTTTTATATAACTCAAGAAGAAATTTACTAGTGCTCTGGTGTTAATTTTTCCTAATTTGAGTGAGTCCTTTGTAGTATATTGTGATGCGTCAAAGATGGGTCTTGGTGGTGTACTGATGTAAAATGGTCAGGTTGTGGCTTATACTTCCAGACAACTGAAAGTTTATGAAAGGAATTATCCTATGCATGTCTTGGAGTTGGCAGTTGTGGTTTTTATTTCTAAGATTTGGAGGCATTATATTTTTGGCACTCAGCTCGAGGTGTTTAGTGATCACAAGAATTTAAAGTACTTGTTCGATCAGAAAGAGTTGAATAAGAGACATAAGAGGTGGCTTGATCTTCTAAGGATTATGATCTTCCGTAGAAATTATCTTCTAAATTTTCTTAGAGCAACAACTGTAAAGAAAATCGATAACAGTCGCGTCAAAAAGGCATAAAAGATTGAATATAATTATCCCAAAGGCTTTTCTTTTTTCACCTGCAGATTCAATAGATAAAATTTGAACATGGCTAATATCGACATAAAGGTGACCTTAATAGCTATGTATATCATGCTTAGTCGGAACTACTCATTCGATAGACCTTTTACTTTTATTTTGCAAAACTTTTAAATAAGACCCATAAACGAACCACCTTGGAAAAGGAGGTCGAAAACCCAAAGGAAGCTCACTGGTG